GTCTGTTTACTGCATCTCAACCGGAGGGACAGCACACTGGTGGGGGAGAGGGTTTGTACCGTGTTTTGTTTCCTTTCTCTCCACAACTACTTGAGCCAATCAGTCATTTCTCCTGACGTGTGTGCTCAGTTCTGGCTCTTCTCCGTGTGTTTGTGACCAAAGCAGTGTCCTTTCTGTTGGCCACGTTTTCAGCATGTTGTCCTGCGGTTTCCCAGCTCCAGATTCCCCACTTGGGAAGTGACTTCTTACCACTTGTTCCCGTATCAACTCAGCGCAAGCATCGGGTAGACTCGCCATTCCGCTAAAACCACAGCGTGGCAGAGCCTCATCTCAGGCGTGGGCGTGATCACTGGTCACCTCTTCCCTGTGAGATTCTCTCCTCCCTGGGCGCTACCACTGAACTGTCCTGGTCTGTCTCCTGCTGCCAGGCACCCTCTGCTCAGCGCCAACACAAACACTAGGCCGTGCCGGCTGGCTCTGCCTCTGACACTCTCTCTCTTTAAAAATTATTTTTTGGCTGCTTGGCTTGCCTTCCTTGGCTGGTCTCAGATGCGACTGCTATTCGAATGACTTCCGTATCGCATCGCCTGCTCAGACACCGTGTCCACCGCACGCTCACGAGCTCACTTCGACAGCATGCGTGCTGAGATCAGACTGCGTGAAGATCAGCGTGACCCCAGCACAAGATGACACACACATTTGTGTCGCGTTCAGTATCAGAACAGTCACAGACTCACAGACACGGATACCAGCACGGTGACTGCAGAGGGAAGAGGGCTCGAGGAGCGGAGAAGGTAAGGGGGGTAAATGGTGACAGGAGACGACTTGGGGCGGTGAACCCACGATACAGATGAAGGGCTACAGAACTGTACACTTGAAACCTATATAATTTTATTCACCAATGTCCCCCCAATAAATTCAATAAAAAATTTAAACACCTCCAGGTTCACAGCTGCACCGGGCTCTTGGCTACTTCCTTTTGGACGGATCTGCCCCGGCCGACTCAGTTCTCTTCTGCCTAAACATCCAGCCCTTCACACTGACTTTCAGACCTGAGGCAGCCCCATCGCCCCATTCACATAGACTAGAACTTACCAAGTTATTTTAAACTCTTTTCTTCTGTATCTAAGCAGTTGTCAGCCTCTGCAGGTCTGGTCCACCCAATCCACCTCCTGTCCAATCTCCCATCGCCTAATGCGCCACACTGGTCAGCGTTCTCCAGAGAAACAGAACCAACAGGACATGAAAATACAGAGAAAGCGACTTATTTTAAGGCACTGGCTTATGCGCTTACGGCGAGTCTGGAGTCCTCAGGGCGAGCTGGCAGGCGGGAGAGCGGAGGAGAGCGTATCTGAAGCCGGTCAGCTGCTGCAGGGACAGTGCTGGAGGCACCGTTCCATGGTGCGAATGCAAGTGCGGGGCTGGGACATGCTGCCCTGCCCTGGAGAGGTCAGAGGTCACGCTTCCCCTGCTCTCCCTCCTTCCTCAGGAGCAGGAGCTAATGATCTTCGGGTGTTGATGAGTCAGGGAGCCCTTCTAATTGGACGCACCAGGAAACAAAATGCACGATAAACAAATGCGTGTTTATCGCAGTTGCTCAGACATGGAAGGGCAGGGGCTCCATCGGCAGAGCGGGATTAGCCAGGAGCACCTGCGGACCTGCCGACAGGGACCCTGAGAACCTGCGGACATGCCGAGAGGGACCCCAGCACCTGCGGACACGCCGAGAGGGGCCCCAGCACCTGCAGACACGCCGAGAGGGACCCCAGCACCTGCGGACACGCCGAGAGGGACCCCAGCACCTGCGGACACGCCGAGAGGGGCCCCAGCACCTGCGGACACGCCGAGAGGGGCCCCAGCACCTGCGGACACGCCGAGAGGGACCCCAGCACCTGCGGACACGCGGAGAGGGGCCCCAGCACCTGCGGACACGCCGAGAGGGGCCCCAGCACCTGCGGACCTGCCGAGAGGGACCCCAGCACCTGCGGACCTGCCGAGAGGGACCCCGGCACCTGCGGACACGCCGAGAGGGACCCCGGCACCTGCGGACACGCCGAGAGGGACCCCGGCACCTGCGGACCTGCCGAGAGGGACCCCGGCACCTGCGGACCTGCCGAGAGGGACCCCGGCACCTGCGGACCTGCCGAGAGGGACCCCGGCACCTGCGGACCTGCCGAGAGGGACCCCGGCCCCTGCGGACCTGCCGAGAGGGGCCCAGAGCACCTGGGGCCTCTACTTTCCCATCTATGTTTAGTGATTCAGTCATCCGAATATTACTAAGTAGTTTGGGTTAACCTATGTACAGAATTCGGCTGAGTATTCCACAATAAGACCTATGTCTGAAGAACTGTCTCTGTTTTCCAAATTCCTTTCTCTATATACTACTTAATTTGATTTTTGATTACTGATTCAATCTCCTTATTAGTTATAGGTCTATTTAGATTTATGTTTCTTCTTGGTTTAATCTTGGTAGGTGTTGTGCTTCTAGAAAAGTATCCAAGACTGGCAGCATATTTGAGAAATTCCACAGACATCATGACTATTTCCCACTGCAGAAACACTCAGTGCGAGCGTGACTGGTCGTGAGCCAGCGTCCCGCAGGTGTGTCGTGTATGATCTGACCTTCTCCTGTGTTACACTGTAGGTTGATTTAGATTGTTTTTCTGCAAGAACCATTCTCATACTTTCACACATGTCTTCTTCGTTCCTTAGGATAAACTCCTAGCTGCAGACTTCTTGAATCATTGGGCCTGTAAACATATTTTTCCTGCTGTGACAAAGTTTTTGAGGTGATGCCTGGAAGGAAATTGAGCTCGAAGTTTAAGCTACCAGTTGAGCAATGAGAACAACTTATTTACACAATTTTGTCAGTTCCTTACTGGTCTACAGCTATTATTCCAGCAAACTGTCTATTTAATAATAAAAAATATGGATAAAACTATGATTAATTTTGTCTAATAGCAATGTGTCTAATACAACTTTATAAAGTTTCAGTATTATTTTTAATATGTTCATTCATATGTGAATTCAATAACTATAATTAAAGAGTGGTAAACAGATGACTAACTCATCATCGCTATCATCAAGATGAACTGAACATCTATTGAAAATGTGCTCTGGACCACAGTGCTAACCCCTCACGGACATGATCTCCCCCCAGCAGAAGCCCTGGCAGGCGGACACGACGAGCCACCTGAGGCCCAGCCCGGCAGCCTCTCTGGAGGCAGAGCCCAGGCCTCAGCCTCGGTCTTTCAGCAACGAATGTTGTCAGGTATGCAAATGGGGGATTTTACAAGTGACAAAACCAAGACCCCAAGAGGTTTGTCCTGCGCCCAAAAAGCATAACTTGTCCATGGCAGACCCCGGCTTAGATCAGTTTGAGAGACCAGAGCTTAGAAGCTCCCTGAACAGAACCGCTGCAACTGCACCTGAGAAACGGGGCCACTCTGGGCTCAACAGTCAGTGTCCATTCACCCCTTCCTGACCAGAGACCAGGCTGGGGAGCAGAGACCCCATGCAGGCTTCGCCCACCACGCCTCCCCTCTGTGTATACAGTTATGAGCATGAGTTTATTCTTGTACTGCTACTTAACTGTATTATTTTCCATAGGAACCGCTGTGAACCTGCGTGTGCCCACCCCTGTATACACGTCCTTTTCTTCTTACCTGAAGGACACCGTCACCTTCCTCTCAGTCCCAATGAGTCTGCGGCTCATCCCTGCAGACCTGGCTTCTTGTGCTCCCTTCCCTGACCATGGCATTGGGCCTCAGAGGAACGAAGGTCTCCAGGCCCCTTGGCACACCCTTGCTGGTGTTGGGTCCTCGTGGCTGGCGGTGGCCTGAGTCAGGCAAACCTTGGTGCAGCTGCGCTGCCGCCCCTGCTGACTTAGCACCAGCCCCTCTGGTGCCCACAGGACTCAAGCTTTTCTGGAAACAGTGGGCCCAGACCTGAGCCACCCTCCTGCCTGCCACCTGCTGTGTCTCCCCCAGAGCAGCAGCCACATTGCGAAAGGTCAGAATAACCGGGAGTTGCCCTCCCAAGAGAGATAACAGGTGGACATTGCACCCTGGCAGCTATTTTTAGTTCTATGTCCAGCTTTTGGAAAGAACGGAATTTTGGAAATATTTTCTCTTACACGTTAGCATTCTTGGGCTGATCCACTGCCTGTGAACCTGCGGTTTCCTGTTGCCTTGGTTACAGTAAAAATAGCAATTATTCTGGGCATTTGGTCAGGCTTCACCCAAATCCACTGAGCCTCGCCCCCGCCTGACCCCGGAGTCGGGGCTCCGGGCTGGGTCAGGGCCTCGCTGGCCAGCAACTGAGTCTGGACCAGATCCAGGTCCCCGTGGGCTCCTGCGTTCTTCCGACCCAACACGTAGATTGAGCCTCTCCTACCCTGCGTTTTATTTCCTTTACATCCGTTTCCTTTCTGATAATAAAAGTCTTTGCTCAGGCAGAGCCTCAGGAACTAAAGTTCCCAAGCACCCTGAAGTCACCTTGTGAGACACCTGCCTGGGGGTGGGGTGGGGGGGGAGCCCTTTCTTCCGCCCTTCCCCACTCCGGAAGTGCCGGCCTCCAGCGGTGACCCCGGGCAGGGAGGAGCCGCTGACACCTGGGCTGAACGAACCGAGCCCCTTCCCGCTCCTCAAGGGGAAGGAGGAACCCGGACGCGGAGCCCGGCCCTTCCAGCCCCCGGAGCGCAGGGCAGCAGGAGGCCAGGGGCGGGGCGGGCGGAAGGTGGGTGGCAGAGGGGCGGGGTGGTGGCGGGGAAGGTTCGCGGAGCCTCTCTAGAAGCCGTGGGAAGACGGCGAGGGCCGGCAGCGCAGAGCCGCGGGCGGGTCCTGGGGCGACTCTCCAGGAGGTACGGCCCGTGTTCGACAGAGTCCGGACCTGGGCCCGCAAGCCCGAAACGCCGGACTTCGGAAGTGGTCTGGGATAGACGTGTGCCGCCGCTGGAGCCCTTCTGCGGGACAGGAGCCCCCGCGGCCCTGCCGGCTAGGATGCTCGGGGGTCCCGGCCTGGACGCGCCCCCGACGGAGGGGCGCCTGCCCCGGGACCAGGACGCGGCGCGGCCGGCGCGCAGGAGCGCGGTGGAGAGACTGGCGGCTGACCGCGCCAAGTACGTGCGGGCTCGGCCGGAGGCAGCCTGGGGCCCGGCTTCCGAGGGCAGTAGCCCCGGGACGGGCGAAGGGCAGGCAGGCGACCCTCGGCCCCCGGCTCGCGCCCCTGGTACCGTGGCGCGCAGGGCAATAGCGCGGAAGCCGCTGAGGCCAGACTCGCTAGTCATCTACCGGCAGAAGTGCGAGTTTGTGCGCGGGCCGGGCGCCGACAGCTTCAGAGGTAGGGTGCGGAAGCTCTTCCCGGGGCCCGGCAAGGACAAGACGCCAACGCTTCCCGAGACGTCCCCGGCGGGAGAAGAGGGCAGGGCCAGGGGCCAGGAGGTGGCGCCAACCAAGCCTGGCCCCGCCGCTGCCTCTACTCCCCATCCTCGCCCCAGCGTCCCGGCCGCTGCCCCGGCGCCCCCAGCGCGCCCCAGCGCCCCAGCTGCTCCACCGGCGTCCCCCGCGTGTCCCAGCGTCCCGGCCGCTGCCCCGGCGCCCCCAGCGTGCCCCAGCGCCCCAGCTGCTCCACCGGCGGCCCCAGCGCGCCCCAGTGCCCCAGCTACTCCACCGGCACCCCCAGCGCGCCCCAGCGCCCCAGGTGCTCCAACGGCGCCCCCCGCGCGCCCCATCACGCCACCTGCTCCACCGGTGTCCCCCGCGCGCCCCAGCGCCCCAGCTGCTCCACCGGCGCCCCCAGCGCGGCCCACAGCCCTGGCTGCGCCCCGGAGTCCGGAGCCACCAGTGACCAGGCGCAGGGGCCTGCAGCGCTCACAGTCAGACCTCAGCTCCCGCTACTCCACTTCCGCGGCCGAATTCGACACTTTCTTCCAGTTCTGCGGCCTGGAGCCCGACGTGGTGGAGGCTCTCGGGAGGGAGAACTTCTCCGCGGGGTCAGACCATGTCGCCATCAAGGTCCGCAGCGTGAGCGTTGCCACCTCCGAGAGCGGCTTCTCCCGGCACAGCGACGAGGGGCTGCAGGAGGAGGAGCTGACGGAGCAGGTGCCCAGCACCACCTCGGTCATAGAGAGGAACGCCCGCATCATCAAGTGGCTGTACACCTGTAAGAAGGCCAAGGAGACTCCGGGGCCGCGGCTGCAGGGCCCTGCGCGACCGCTGCGCCCCGAGGCTGGAACCCAAGGGTGAGGCGGGGTGTCTGCGTGTGTCTGTGAGTGTGTGTCTGTGAGTGTGACGGAGCAGGATGGTCACCCTCTAAAGTTGGAAGGGACCCTAGAGATTGAGAAGCAGAGTCTCGCGCGGGGCACTCTAGGTCCCCGCGGGTCCAGCGCCCTTGCTTTAGAATGTGCAGCTTCCGACTGCCTGCACGTTCACACCCCCCTAGTGCGCTTGTGACTAGGAAGCCAGGAAAGCCTGGAACGATACAATGATACAATGATACAATGCTCCTCTGCTCTTACTATTTCCTGCTTTGAAAGTAGCCCGAGAGCCCTGGTTTCTGCGTGAATTGACCCGTGGGCGTCTTGAGGTCTGGTCGGAGCTGACTGTCCCCTGGAGGGCGCTGCTCCCGGAGGCCTTTGCCCCTGAGCGAGGAGGATCTTGTGAGCAGTTCGGCATTCATTTAGCTGGAACGATCCCTATTTTGCTAAATATATATTTGTAATTGCTCTGAGAACTTTCTAAGGAGCGTCAGGGAGCAGCTTGTGGGCAAGAATCAGCTTCAGGCTGTTGAGCTGGGCTCTGGACCGGACTCCTCCCGTCTTGGAGACGAGTGGCTGTGACTCGGCACTTTCTTTGCCTCTGGCGACCCTGTAGGAGGTGCGTCCTGCCCTTGGACACAGGTAGCGCAGGACCGATCTCCGCTCTTTTCCACTGAGACCGATGGAGCGTTGGTCTCTGTCGCCTGTGACCCTCCTTCCAGGCACGTGTGTGTGTGTGTGGGGGGGGGTGTTTCCAGGGATCCTGAAGGGAGAGGGGGCCCAACTTTTTCATGATTCTCTTATGAGAACCAAGAATTTAAATATTACAGTATATTCTCTTCTCTTACCCTTTAGTGACAACTTCCTATGAAAGTTTAAAAATCATATGATGGAAGTATTTTCTCTGCCTTCAACAAAAACTAGGTGAAGACACAGTGTCAGTTTTTGGGGTGGTGGGGGAGGTGCCACAAAACGTGTGTCCACAGCTCACCTCTGTGAGGAGAGAAAAGACACCCGAGTTCCCTGCGCAGCCGCAGTTGCAGGGCAGCGTGAAATGTGGGGAGAGACCCGTTCATCGTTTCTTTTGAACTGAAGGGATCAGGACTTCAGTTTCTCCTTATCATTTATTGAAGATTATTTTCCAGTAGCATAAGCCCCCAAAGAATGTAAGTAGGCAGTCAAAATGTAAAACAATAAAAGATTTACCTGTATTTTCCCCAGATTGTGTTTTAGAACTGAGATGCATTCAGAAATGAGATGAGATGCAGGCACCCTGAGTATCTTGGGAGTTGTAGGGGTCCCACTGGTCCCGGGGGTGGTGGTCTGGCTCACAGAGCCCTGATGAGCTTGGAGGCCTGTCTTCTGCCAGTCAGGACTCCTGCACTTGGGGCGTCCTTGCTCAGAAAATGAAGGTAGGTGGTCTCCAACTCTGCATTTTGTGATTCTGTGCAGTCAAGTATCTGCGTATCTGAGTTTCCTGATTAGAACCCAGAAAAGGAAAAGAAAACAACGTTGTCCAGTGGTTGGTAAAATGTAAATTTATAAATAGCTTCCCTCCAGGTTTTCAGAGCACCCTTCACTACGCACAGAGGGCAGGCGGAATTGGGGGTACATAGTGCTGCGTAGCAGGAGATGCGCAAACGGAAATAAAACCCGACAACAAGAACGTCAGCGGCTCATCTCAGATCCCCCTGGACTCAGACCCACCGGGTCCCCGGGGCTCCACCGACAAAGCAGTATCCTGAGCAGAATTTAGGGTGCAGTCCCTGATGAAACCTTTCCAAGGCCCGGTTAGCTTTGAGGCTGGAGGAATGTAAGAAGTTCCTCCAGCCTGGGAGAACTTTCCCTTCTGTCACAGAAGCACAGTTGAGGGGAAGAGCGAGCAGATTTGGGGAATTGCTGAGGGCGAATCTGTGCAGGAGAAGAGAGGTTCATGTGGTCACCCTCTTCCTCCCTCTCTCCATCCTGTGTGCGCCCAGTTTCTGTGCCTCCACAGGCACCAGCCCTGTAAATGTTTGCTTCACGAGTTTTCTACCCTGGGATGAAGGTGACATCTGCTTCTGATCACAGCCCCTAGGCTTGTACCTGGGACCTACGAGCCATCTCCCCTCGAAGAGCCAGTGAAGAGGGCCGGCCCAGAGCTCAGAGCAGGGCACGCTGCCCTTCACAGGCGGAGGGTCCTCTGGCAGCCGACCTGTCCTCACCAGGTTACTAGTCCGAGACCAATTCCATAGCTGTGGAGGCAGGAAGGCAAGCTATGATTTCCTCCAGTTTACCAAGACGTGTGGGAAATCTGAGATGAACGAAGGATGCTTTCTAAGTGAAAAAGGAAACAAATATATTTTATATGGAGGTTTCTGTCCCGTTGGTAGATAGAGATATTATAGATTAAAATTAAAATATACCATCCAGAATTAAATAACAAATTCATAAGTTTTTTTCCCCCACGGAGTAAAAATGTTTGCTTTTCAAAGCTGAGAGTTCAAGCTAGAGAGTGACTCACAGAATGTGCCCCGAGCTCACTGGGGATGCACGAGCAGCAGGCACACGTGGGCGATTTCTGTGTCTGCCTCCCAGCGTGGAAGTCAGTGGAACTGCTCCTCTGGGGGCGCTGGCTCGTCTCCTGCCCTTCAGGTCATCGCAGAGTCAGGGCTGCCAAAATGTAGGTCTCTGGTTGTCTGGCTTTTGGATAGAATATATGTTGCTGATTTTAATATTGTTTTAAAAGAATGCTAACTTGTCCTTTGGGTTACATAGGGATAAACAGTGTTTAATTTTAAGGCAAAAATCTGACATATTCCCCAGCTGTCTCCACGTTACTTTGTTGGAAAAGGAATACCTGTGGGCCCTGGGCGCCGAGGGGCCCACGCTGAGGTTGGGGAAGGAGCCTCAGTTGTGCAAAGATGCTGTAGGGAGCAGACACACTCCTCCTGGCTCCTGGCTTTTCAGCAGCTGGAGGGGGGTGGGCACTGGTTGCGTAGCCTTGAGAGACCCTGTCTGTTCAGGTCGCCCTGGGCCTTTCAGAGGGATTGTGTTTGAGAAGGGTGGTTGGTTTGCCTGCAGATGTGCATTTGGACTGCCTGCCTTGTTTTCTGTTTGTTTGTTTTTTCTTCAACTCTGTCGGTCAGCCCTGGCTTTCAGACATTCTCTCAACTGCCTTCCGAGTAGTTGGAGAGAAGCAGAAGTTTCAAACGTCCAGAAAAAGGGCTGCAGGGAGATGGGTTCTGCTTCCGCCAGAGAAGCTGGGTGGCTCTTGCTAAGGCTGCCGACTTCTTTCACAATTTCAAGGGCAAAGGCAGCCGTGGCCGGTGCTCAATGGTTAGCGACCGGCCCGCAGACTGAGGAGTCTTGGGTTTGATTCCCAGTCAAGGCAAGTACCTGGGTTGCAGGTTCATCCCCCACCCTGGTTGGGGGCATGTGGGAGGCAACCAGTTGATGTGTCTTTTTCACATCAATGTCTCTCTCTCTCCCTCCTTTCCACTCTATCTAAACGTGAATGGAAACATATCCTCAGGTGAGGATTATTACGTTTGAATTTTTTTAAGTTAAATTCATTGGGATGACATTGGTCAATAGGATCATACAGGTTTCAAGTGCACACATTCCTACGATACAAAACAATGCAGCACATAGCACAGAACCAGCCTGCAGGAGCAGCCTTGGGAGTATGAGGTGTCGCCTTTGACCTTTGCCTGACTGGTGCTGATCGATGGCTTTTCCTTCCTCCTCAGGAGCAAGCCGTCCTGACCGGCTGCAAATAGCCTGGAAGCGGGTCCCGGATGACTGGGGACCCCGGGCCGTGCTCGTGGCCACAGACTCTGTCCATGCGACCCAGGGGACCCAGGACTCAAGGACCCCACCGAGGAAGCTTAGGTAACACCACAAGGGCCGAAAGGCTGCGGAGAAGACGGGTCGCGGAACCTAGAAATCAAGAACCAGCGAGTGACTGTCCACCTGCGCAGAAGCCCAGGGCGGGCCTTCTCGCTGGCGGTGGACCCGCCCTGGCCCCCAGAGGGCAGCAGAGAGGGCAGGTACTTTCAGACCCGGGAAAACCACCTTTTGACTGGTTTGCTAAGAGGCACTATGGTGCACTTTAATGATGCGCACATAGATTTTAACAAGGCAAAAACGCAAAGAGCATGGAAACCCAGTGTGCCACAGCATTGCCCACCTTCAATCATCTCGGACTGATTGGCACCATCGAACCAAAGATCTGGGACCGCGCACAGGTGTTCTACTCAACCACTGCCCCCCCCCCACCCACACACACACCCCAGCTCACCTCCCGTCAGCTGGGCCTGGGTAGCTCCTGGACGACTCAGCACTTTCGCTGTCACCAGGCCCGGCGGCCGGTCCCCCAGTGCCGCTCCCACAGGCGGTGGACGTGTGCACCTGCCGGGTAAGGATAAGTGGCCGCTGAAATCCTGCTAAAGGTACTTCTGTGGGCCTGGATGGCTGTCCGGGAGGCTTCGCAGCAGCCTCACTTCAGGCCATTCGCCGTCTCTGGGGAGGAGCCGGTCCCGACCCCCGGGGGCACCAGTCGCCCTGTGCAAAGGGGTGTTTGAGAGGAGGGAGCGTCTCTGGGCGCCTGGGAGCCGAGGGTCAGTCCTGGTGATAAGGAGCCACCGTGACAGGCTCACAGCCGCAGAGTAAAACAAACAGCCTTCAGGTTCAGGAACTTCTGAGAGAAATTGTGTCAATGATGACAACCCAAAGAACAGTGTCACTCGGTCAACGTTTCAAAGTTTTCTGTCTTTTATCAAAATATATTCAAGAACAAAACGATTAGAGAGAAGAAGGTGGCTGGGAGGGAAACGCATTCCTCAGTGGTAAAAAAGGTTTAAATCAGTTCATTTTGTAATATTTTTGTATTTGTTTCATATTGTATTATATTTTTGTAACTGTTTTACTATGAGAGAAGGTCTTAAATATTTATTTTCACAGAGTTATTAGTCTCCAATTATTTTTATTCACGTCATATAATTTTAGTTTTACCAGAAAAGTTTTAAATCATGTTCTCCTTTCTCACTTTCTGCACCTTCTCCTGGTTATCACTGCATATTTGTGGCCTAAGTGCACCTGGACCGCGGGCGTGAGCAGTGGCCCCTGCTGTGCAGATGGGCACTCGGCCAGGGGGCCCAGGTCTGCCCCAGCCAGCCTTTCGCAGGGCAGAGACTCCCTGACCGCAGAGTGTCCCCCAGTTGACCCTGTAAAGCTGCTGTGCACGGGGCTGCACGTAGGTAAAAACCATCACGGCAGAGGGTCTTTCCTGGTGCCTCGCTTGCGTGTTAGCCGGGGTCCCATCCGTTACCCGTGTGAATGCTGTAGGTCAACTGTTTTGTGCCTTTCTAAACTCGGAATAGGACGAACTGAAACATAGATCAAATTTATCTGAGATCAAAACTTATTTGAGACTCACCATCCATATACTAGATGAAAAATACACATATTTTGAATTGGTTTCCTTTCAAACCACCAAGATGTCTCAGAAGCACGGCACCTCAGTGGGGTGCGGGAAGGGCAGGGTCCGCTGCAGTGAGGTCCGGGATAGATGGCAGGGACGTGTGCAGGTGGTGCTGGGGATGAGAAACCCTTTCCTAACCCTGAATTCCCCCAGTTTGCTGAGTGACTTTGAAAAAATAAAATTTTTCAGCTCAGTCTGAGTAAAAAAGCTTGCCATTACTTGTTTTTTTTCTTTATTGATTTTAGAGAGAGAGGAGGGGAGAGGGAGAGAGAGGCAGAAACATCGGTGAGAGAGAACATCGACTGGCCACCTCCCACACCCCCCTGGGGATCGGGCCCACAACCCGGGCTTGTGCCCCGACCGGGAACTGGGCTGGGAACTGAACCGGTGACCTCCTGGTGCAGGGTCACATTCAACCAGTGAGCCACGCCAGCCGGCACCACTGCTTTTTAAAAGAATGAACAGGCCGTGACCGGAATCAGCCCGCAGACTGGAGACAGGAAAATAGTTTCATTTGTTCGTGAAAGAATGGCACATACAGTAATGTGATCAAACACAATAGAAGGGAAAACACTGGACAGGTGAGGACCACAGCCCGACTCCCGTTCCACCACAGGGTGCGGACGCGCAGGTGGAAAGGCCCTGCAGTGAGTGGAGAGTCTCCCCTACACGTGAGCATCGTCTTCAGACTCTGGTCGCCGGTGCTGGGGGGACAGGCTCTGAGCACCGCCCTTCCCAGGAGGTGGCCTCAGCCCGGCTGCACTTGGCGGTGCTGCCATCAGACGTCAGACCACAGCTGTTTCTGCTGCTCGCCCTGGGAGTGCAGGACTGTGGTTCTGTATTAAAGGAATAAAGCATTTTCATCACTTATTGATACTAATTTGTGAACTTGAACAGTGCGAACATAATCAGAGCAAAAGGCTGCTCATGAAAACATCTCTTGCTTCCTTCCTGACATCAGTCCTCAGATCACCAGTGAAGACCAGGGAGGAGCTGACATCCGTGAGTCTAAGTTCCCCAGACCAGCGACTTTCAACCCGTCAGCCGCAAGAATATTGAAACATGCAATTATGCAATTATGACTGTTTAGCCGGGGCACTGACCTCTTTCCCCTTAGGCTGCCTTTTAAAGATGATAACAGCCAACACAATGCCATCCAGCTGAATGAATCAAAATAAAGCCTATAGCCCGCTGGTGTGGCTCAGTGGTTGAGCGTCGACCTTGCACCAAGAGGCCGCAGGTTCGATTCCCAGTCAGGGCACATGCCCAGGTTGTGGGCCCGATCCCCAGTGGGGGGCGTGCAGGAGGCGGCCAGTCGATATTCTCTCTCATCGATGTTTCCATCTCTCTCTCTCCCTCTCCCTTCCTCTTTCTCGAAAAACAATAAAGAAAAAAAAATAATGCCTATTTTTTTTTGTCAGATCAGCCAAAATTATAATGTATTTTTAGGTGTGCCACTGAATTTTAGTAATTAGTTTATGTGCCATGAGATGGAAAAAGTGAAAATCCCTGCTCTAGATCTTCTTGGAGACGGAATGCAATATAAACAGTTTTGAGTATTTAGGGAATTATTTTTCTTTCGTTTATTTCATCAGTCTTTTGCTAGAAATGTTTTTCTTCGTGTTTAGTTAGTACCCTCGTTGGCGAGTGAGCACGGAGATGAGGAAGCAAGTTCGGTCTGTGGCCTTTGTGCTACTGGACTCCTGATGTCTGCTTGGCTTGGAGCTGGTGGGACAGAGGCCGGGACATCCGACCTGTCCGTCAGGGCTCTGACCGGGGTGAACCGGTTTCTTTTTTCATCCGGAGGTAGTTTATGCCCAAACCTATACAAGCATCCAAAGATAGGCATGCCTGAGGAGAATAAATAAATCCTTCTTGATTTCCATGAAGACAGTGGTCACGTGCCGGGTGATGTGGGGACTCCTGTTTGACTGTGGAACCCGTGGGACACGCTGGGGCCCAGTGCCAGGGTCTGACAGCAGTTTTCTCTCACCTTCAGGAAAAGAAACTCTTACCTCCCAGTTACCGTTTTAGAAAATTCAGTAACACCAGAAGCCATGAGGTGGTCGCAGTGGCCCAGGGTTAGAACTTTGCATCTTCAGTGATGAGGTAAACAGACCTGCACAATAGTTCGAGGCTCCGGGTTAGAAAAAGCACATGAGAAGGAAGCAGCTCTCGGCCAGGAGCTGACGGCTCTGGTTGCAGAAGCTGTGGGGGCAGAGACGGGGAGAGAATACAGAAGCCCTGGGAGATGTGCCCACCATTGTGTCCCGGCCTCTGCCCCAGTGCCCCAGATTCCGCAGGGTCGTCTCTGGTGTGGAAACGGCCCTGGAAGCAAACTGCTTTCTGAAGGGGGGTGCATGGATCCATCACTAGCCTTTGATCTGTAACTCGAAGTAGAAGGTGGATTTCCTTAGAAGGTGGGAACCTGAACCCGGGAGCCGATGAGGAAAGACCTGGACCTTGGCCTGTGGAGGGACACCCAGTGTTGAGCGGAAGTAGAACACGCGTCACAAGAGCCAGAACGGGAGATTAGGATCTCCTAACCTGTGCTCGCGTGCACCTGGGGGTCGTGCACCAGTCTTGCTTCTGAGCAGTCCTGACCTTCACCAAGGACAATGACGAACTCGCCGACATGCATCCCTGCACAGCGGAGGCTGACCGGGCCTTCCCCAGGCTCTGTGCCAGGCTCACCTCCTGGGGGAGGGTCAGATGTCCTGTGAGGATGGGTGGATGGATGAGTAAATAGATAATACATTTTTTTTTCTTAATCCTCATCTGAGGACATTTTTGCATTTATCTTCAGATAGAGCAGGAGGGAGAGAGGGAGAGAGAGAGAACATCGATGTGAGAGAGACACATCAACTGGTTGCCACCTACACAACCCCAACCGGGGCCGGGGACAAACTGCAACCAAGGTACATGCCCTTAGTGGGAACCGAACCCAGGACTCTCTGGTCTGCGGGCCGAAGCTCTTACCATTGAGCCAAACCAGCCAGAGTGATAATAACTTGCTGATAGAGAGTGGAAGGTCATTCTGTCTGAACCATAAGTGGAACCCAACATCCAAATTATATTTAAAAAATGCAACAGGGAAAGAAAACATGCAAATTGTAAATGGCATATTTTTTCTCTGAGACTTTTACTTTAAACCCTGGAAGTCTTTCACTCCGGCAGCTCAAAGCTTTGACGTCTAAACAATAAAAAGCAGAACATATTACAAGTGGGGCCTCAGGACTTGGTCTCCACCTGGTCAAAGGCTATTGTGAGGGACGTCAACACCCAGGAAAACAATACGGACTCAGTAGAGCAAACAGTGACTCACAGCCCG